GGGAGAAGAATCAAAGAGGAAAGGGCAAAGATGGAACGAGATAGAGTAAGATGGCAGAGACAGACTGGGATCAAGAGTGGAGAGAATGGGAACCATGGAAGAGCCAGGAAACAGAACAGTTGGGTTTGGAGATGTCCGAAGGAGAGGGGTTTTCCTGTTGCCAATTCCACTAGAACCAGCATTGATGGCATTTGACCCAGAGATGGGTCATGGACAATTAGCCTTTCTTGCAGGCAATTCATTTGTGACTCAAGAATGTAACCCCTTCCTCAACCCTTTACATGAGGAGAAGTTAACGGTTCAGGTTGATGTTAATAATTGCTTATATCTTCTGGAAATAAATGCTGAGCGTTTGAACCACGAGAAGGTGTCATTACTTACCAAACTGAAGGGTGAACCTTCAGCAGATTCATCAAAGGGAGAACCAGTACCCTCACAATCTGGTGACTACAACTAGGCTCAACACACAGGTCCTTCTCTGTGATAACACCATGACTCTGGGATGCCCTTCCAACACAAACCCATCACACATACACCCTATTTTGTGTGTCTTCAACCAATAAACATCTTATACTTTCATTTATAGCATATGTTCCCCACCTTCCAATTAAAAACAGGCTTGACGTGGTTAACAGTAAAATCCATAATAAAAAGTCAACATAACAAATATTATCAAGCTATCCCAAAATGAAAGAAGACCTAAAATTAGCAGGGCTGTCATTTTGCAGAAAAACAACAAACAAAGGTAACTTCATGTAACGTGCTTATTTTCTTCCAAGGATCTTGATAGCCTATCAACCTGTCACCCATTACATATTGCTAAACATTGTTCTCTATCTGTTAAATGGGGGCATACTATTCCTTTCCCCTGGGGGCATTCTAAGACTGTGCAGCTTGCCTAAGGCTACACAGGCTGGCTTTTCTCCTAGAAGGCATAATTGGGAATTGAACTCCCAACCTCTGGGTCTCCGTTTGCTGAGCTGATAAATGCACTGCTTGAATATTGATTTTGGATTTACTGTATTAATGTCCAATATGGCTGTCTTTCTTTCATGCAAAGCATATAGTTAACCTCACAATATGTTACTATACTCAAGATAAAAATTTAAAAAGCAGTAGCTCCAGTTTATTTTTAATACCTATGCATTTGTTTCGAAAGAGTGGGATTCACAGTATTCAAGAAATTTGCAAAGAGTGGCACATTGGTTTCAGAGAGTGCTGGGCCATGTGACTCTTCAACCTCTGTTAACTGAATATGTGTGGGGAGTTGTTTGAGAATCAATGTATAATCTACTATCGCATATCACTTCTGGAGACATGATGAATAGTCATGAACCAAAATAATGTAAAGAATGGTCTACTAGTCCATGGAATAATAAATATTCTTTATGATTTATGTACTAACACAAAATTAAGATTAGCCGTGGCACAGTACAGTATAGGGCAAACAAGGCAATGTACAGCTAACATATAATCAGAAGCAAAGCCTAGAAATTGAGTCGCAGGGGCCAGATGGCTGTCTCTTTATTCTGATATGAGATTGCGCCAGTGTTTTGTGCATACTGTATAGCACTGAAAGACTTCTGTTGATACAAGAGGGGAAACAAGCATTTGCCTTGAGACATGCTCTCACATAAAAGGCACTGAAAATTACGGTAAACTTTTTCCTTTTCTCTTCCTCAAGTTAGTCAAAGGTTGACCTCTTGTGGCTAAAGCAGCAAAGTAAATGTACTGTACTAAATTATTTGGTAGCTTGTTAGCTACCCTGTTTCCCCAAAAATAAGACCTAACCTGAAAATAAGCCCTAGTAAGATTTTTCAGGATGCTCGAAGTACTATAAGCCCTACCCCAAAAATAAGCCCCAGTTAAATGAAACCCTGCCCACCGCCATTGTGCAGCAACCCGAAGAAGAAGTGACTGTATTTGAATAAATGTAGACTGTTGTACGTAGAAAAAAAAACCTCCCCTGAAAATGAACCCTAATATGTTTTTTGGAGCAAAAATTAATGTAAGACTCTGTATCATTTTTGGGGAAATGTGGTAATTAAAGAACTATGGCAGGGCAACACTTCTTTACCAACAATGATATATTTGAAATGTTTGGCTGATGTTTTCAGTATTTTTTTCTGGGACATCTAAGATGTCTTTTAAAAACAACAAAAATAAAGAACATATTCAAACAAGCTGTCCAGCTATTTGTGTGTTTTATCTCAAGTCTGTTTTTTTCCCAGATTAAAAAAAATACACATACTGTACCTGGTAGTTTATATGTCTATGTAAGTGGGATTATGGTATTACCCCCCAATAAACGCACTCTTGCCATCAGGCAGTAACACTAATTGGGTTGACAAAAATGTACTTATCAAAGAACATATTCAAACAAGCTGTCCAGCTATTTGTGTGTTTTATCTCAAGTCTGTTTTTTTCCCAGATTAAAAAAAATACACATACTGTACCTGGTAGTTTATATGTCTATGTAAGTGGGATTATGGTATTACCCCCCAATAAACGCACTCTTGCCATCAGGCAGTAACACTAATTGGGTTGACAAAAATGTACTTATCTAGCAAACATCATCATCATCATCATCATCATCATCATCATCATCATCATCATCATCATCATAACGACAACGACAATGACGACGACAACAACAACAACAACAACAATAATAATAATAAACTAATCAAAAAACTCCCCAAATAATGAACTAAACATATACCCCAAACCCAGCATATGCAAAAAAGATAATCGAATAATATAAATCAGATGTTGAAAACAATGAAATAAACAACAATAAACCCATGCCATTTTAATTCTCCATTCAAATTCATCTCAGAATGTGAAAGTTCTAAACCTGCATTGCATCTTTATTTTGGCACAAATTCTGCATAAATGCCTATTAAAAATGCAAGTATCACTGGATGGACAGGATGCAGTAAAAGAAAGGAATTGCGATAATGGGGCATACAGTACTATATTGGAGGGCTTTGAATATTTCATGAGAAACGCTGTGATCCTCCCAAGGTTTGGATTACACACATTTTGCTACATTTATTGCGGCTTCTAGCACATATATCTGTATGGTATGTGCTTTTTCTGTATACCATGGTCAAGAAGGCTGAGTACTTTTATGCTTAAGAATTAGAAGTATTTGACTATGTGCATATGCTGATTAGCAAAGTGGGCAACAACTTGTTGACCACTCTGCTGAAGACCTCCAACAACTCATGAATCGTTTTAGCAAGGCTTGCCAAGACTTTGGACTAACAATCAGCCTGAAAAAAACACAAGTCATGGGCCAGGGTGTGGAGTCACCTCCCTCTATTACCATCTCCACGCAAGAACTGGAGGTTGTTCATGACTTTGTGTACCTTGGCTCAATCATCTCTGACACTCTCTCCTTAGATGTCGAGCTGGATAAACGCATTGGGAAAGCAGCTACCATGTTCTCTAGACTCACAAAGAGAGTATGGCTCAATAAGAAGCTGACGGCATATACCAAGATCCAGGTCTATAGAGCCTGTGTCCTGTGCACATTCTTGTACTGCAGTGAGTCCTGGACCCTTTGTGCACAGCAGGAGAGGAAACTGAACACATTCCATATGCGTTGTCTCCGATGCATTTTTGGTATCACCTGGCAGGACAAAGTTCCAAATAGAGTAGTTCTAGAACGAGCTGGAATTTTTTAGCATGTATAAATTACTGAAACAGTGACATCTACATTGGCTTGGGCATGTCGTGAAAATGGCTGATGGCTGGATTCCAGATCTCCAGTATGGAGAATTAGTGCAGGGAAATCGCCCCAGAGGGAGACCACAGCTGCGATACAAGGACATCTCCAAGCGGGATCTGAAGGCCTTAGGAATGGATCTCAACAGATGGGAAACCTTGACATCTGAGCATTCAGCCTGGAGGCAGGCGGTGCATCACGGCCTCTCCCAATTTGAAGAGACCCTTGTCCAGCAGGCCGAGGCAAAGAGGCAGTCCTGAAAGCAGCCAAATCAGGGAGCTGGACAGGCGACAGATTGTATTTGTCTTCAGTGTGGAAGGGGTTGTCACTCTCAAATTGGCCTCCTCAGCCACACTAGACGCTGTTCCAAGACCTCCATTCAGAGCACATTCCCATAGAGTCTCGAGACTGAAGGATGCCTACTTGCTGTCTCATCATGAAGTCACGGATAAATAGGACAGTAATAGATAGTCTCTCGAGACTGAAGGATGTCTACTTGCTGTCTCATCATGAAGTGACGGATAAAGAGGACAGTAATAGTCTCACTCTTACGTCTGAGTAAATGGCCCTGATCCACCAAAGCTCACATTAAAATACAGAGGTCAGGTTTTCAGGTGCTACAATGATTTAGTCCACTGGTTCTTAACCTTGGGTTACTCATGAGTTTTGGACTGCAACTCCCAGAAGCCTTCACCACCAGCTGTCTTGACTGGGGTTTCTGGGAGTTGCAGTTCAAAAACATCCGAGTAACAAAAGTTAAGAACCACTGAGTTTTAGTCTTTCTGTTTTTGCATGGCTTTTTTTTTCTGCCCCAGATGCAGACCGGGTGAAAAGTTTACATGCTGCCTTTGGGGCTGATTGTGTCAAAACTCTCGGAGTTTCCCCTCCGTAGGGATCCAATCCTAAAACTGCTTACTACAGAGCGCATCTGCTGACCTCAACGGGATTACGTCTGAATCAACACGCACAGGGTTGCGCGCTTCTCGGGGAAACGTGGGAACTGGCACGAACCCTACCTCGCCCGAACCCTCCCGCTCTCTACGAGTAGTAAATAACACTCTCCATTGGCTCTTGGCTACGTCAATCTTCTCCCCAGCCTATCCAACCCCATCTTCCTTCTGCCGTAGATCCGAGCGGTCGAGCGGAGTTAAGATTGGCTACGTCCCCTAATCCAGCCTCCTCGGCCTTTTCTAAATTCATTCTGATAGGAAACCTGCCGGCACTGGCCTATGAGAGACACCCCGGTGATCCAATCATAGGCTGAAATTGAGTGACGTCATTCTTTCTCCTTTCTTATGTGCCGCTCTGCCTGGGTTAGTTCAGTTGCGTTCGGAGGGGTAGCGGCGTGTTATTTTGTTTTTTAGCCTCTGGAGTTTCGAAGTAAGTAATAAGCTAGTATGGTTGTGTGTGTTTTTTTAAATTGGCCCGCAGATTGTAGATAAACTAGAGCAATGCAAAGAGGAATAATTCAAAAACATCCAATTGCCTGTAAAATTGGGTGTTTAATTGGAATATTTTAATGCTTGTAAGCCGCCTTAGGAGAAAACAAAGTGAAAGGCGGCATGTTCGTATTTAAAATAAAATAAAAGAGTTTTATCGAGCCTGAAGTGTGTTTTCTGTCTAGATTTGCCCAAGATGTTTGGCTGCTGTTCTGCTCTCCTTATCTGATGCTTTTCTTTTTAAGGCTCAGCTAAAAAGATGGTTGAAAGTGTAGATGAGTTATTTTGGGAGCAGATTTCTGAGATGTGACATGCAGTAGTATGAGTGTTAGGGTCCCCTTGTGATTGGCTTTTGGTACCTAGCCGTGGATTAAATGCACGTGTCAGTACAGTATATTTTTGTTTTAGCCATAAACAAATACATGGAACAAACGTATGTTTTGTTTGAAACAGTAGGACTTGGGCGAATTTTGGACTGCAAGTCTTGGCAGTAATATTTTGCACTTGTGAGTTCTTAATTAAAACATTTAATTTATGTTATTTTTACAGCGACCCTGTGCTTCAATTTTAATATTTGATTTGTGTTAATCTTTGCTTCTGTGGCCCTAGCAGCAGTTTGGTCTACACTTCTATAGACAATTAGGGGATTATATTGATTTCCTGATGCTGATTTCTGTAAATCAAACCTGCTGTTAAAAAAATTCCAGCGCAGGACATTTCCCTTTCAATAGGTATTTGCATTGTAGGCCAGCATTATCCTGTCAGGAGAATCAAAGGATTAGTTTTGAAAAGGAGAAGGCACAGAAGCATTCTTCCATCATGTGTTGTAATCATTTTTGAACTGCAGAGCTAGAAGGGACCCTATGGATCATTGAGTCCAGGCTATGTGAAGGAGGCATAGGTGGGGAATCAAACTCCCAACATCTGGCTCTGCAGCTGTATGCCTAAACCACTGAGCTTTCTTTCCAGCAGTTCATTGAATTCCCCTTGTAATGGATAACATCTTGCAGCCTGAAAAATAAGATACTAAGAGCTCACTTATAACCTCATTTGAAGATAACTCAATCAACTGATAATGAGTTGCAACTCTGCCATATGTCTGCTGAGAGCATGAATTTTAGCAGATAGGTTAAACATGCATATTTATGAAAAACAGTATTTCTAGGTCAATGAGAATAATTGTGTTCATAGTTATGTATGTTGTTCTATGCTGTCAAGATCTCCAAAATGTCCTCAACAGCTCCAGTCCACTCTTGTAAACTCAGTGTAGTTATGTATGTTGTTCTATGCTGTCAAGTCAGCTCCAACTTATGGTAATCCTATAAATGAGAGATCTCCAGAATGTCCTCAACAGCTCCAGTCCACTCTGGTAAACTCAGTGCTGTAGCCTCCTTTAGGGAGTCACCCCATCTTCTATTTGGTCTTCCTCTTTTCCTGCTGTCTTCAACGTTTCCCAGCATTATTGTCTTTTCCCATAGAATTTTGCCTTCTCATGATTTGCTCAAAGTAGAACAGCCTCAGATTCAATATTTTTGCCTCCAGAGATGGTTCAGGCTTGACCTGTATGCTTTTTTAATAGAATAATTCCTTCTATGAGGGAAGACTGCATGCCTTCTTTAACAGATAGTGCTTGCTATATATATATCTTGTATGAATAGTTTCCTAAAAATAATAGATTTACATTATTCCAACTATTTGGGGCAACTTTTTATGTCAGTTAATCTTTTCAAAAATTAGTTCTTCTGATAACTGATTGCAAGGTCTTGCTTTTGCTCTGTCATCTGTACACGGTGGGCTAGTATGGGCGCACATCTCTGTATAATGGACTTCAGCAACAGATGCTGTGGGTACACTACCTCTTGTTCTTCTTTGAAGATGCCAGCATATCTGACACCTGTTTCAATTTAAAAAAAATTAAAGTCCTCTAAAGCTGCAGAGAAGCAGCTACAGCAGATCAAAAAAAAAGTCTGTAGGTTAATTCTCAGGAGAGGAGCCTTCAGTATAGAGTATCTTTCCAGAACTGTAATTCATAGTTTGATGGACTAATAATGGTAAGATATTTGTTGACATGAGAGATGGATGGCTGTCATGTTGTGTAAAAGACCCTGGGTTTTTCCAAGTCTGTGTTAGCTTTGTAGGCAAGAGCAGGATCCAGAAGTGCTTATATCTGCACAGTCACCGTTGGCATGGTAATCAAATCTCTGTAGAAAAGGTCCTTATTATCATTCGTGAAAATCAGTAAAGGTATCATTGATTGAAAGTCCTGTTTGGAAACTGTAGGTGTTTTGCAGAAAAATGCCTCCTCTCGCTGCTAGTCACATCAACCATGAATGAATATAGATTCCCTATGCTTTATCTCTCATCAGTGTATAAAAGATCTCTCTTGTTTCAGCCTGCTTTTTTTTTTTTTAAAAAAAAGACTCCTTTAAAAAGTAGAGCAAAACTATCTCTGTGCCCAGAATGAAGAATGCTCCTCTTCTGGTAGTTTGGATAAAATGGGTAGAAAGTACACTGCCATGAACTTCATTGTGGAAGGGTGGGCTAACATACAATAAACACACTAATTCAAGGATGAAAATGCAGGAGCCCTGACTTTTCTTGCATTAATCCCTTTAGTGCGGAAGGAAACAAGAGTCAGTTCATTAGGAATAAGATGTCCAGTAGTTACAAAGTAAATGTATTTTCTGTTGTTTAGAGTGCATAATTTGTGGGGCAGGTTAGAGAGGAAATCAAGTATCCTTTGGCCTACACTCAAGGATATAACCCCCCAGCTTCTTCAGGAATAGTATCTTGACAGGAATCCTTTATTGTGGCAGTTCTGCACTGATTTTCTTTTCAGAAGTGGTTTGTTCTGGTTTGGCTTTGTTGTTTTCTCCAGCAAACAAAAGGGAACACCGGGAAGCTCTCTTTTATTCCCTGAATAGTAGAAACAAGAGGAACATTTAACGTGTGTGCCTCATTTGATTGAGCCAATTAGTCTTTGCTTTCTGTCCTTGATTGATTCCTAGTTTTAAAGTATTCTGGACAATTAGGTAACTAGATGATTCAGCAGAACACCTAAAGCTCAATTTGCTTGCTCTTTTTCGTTTAAGCAGCTGACTGGATAGCTCAGTGAGTTACCTGCAGAGCCAGAGTTTGGGGGTTCAATTCCCTACTGTTCCTCCTCTGAGTAGAGCCAGCCTGTGTGGCCTTGGGTAAACTGCACAGTCCCAGGACACCCACAGAAGAAAGGAATGGTATACCACTTCTCAGTACTTTATATCAAGAAAACCCTGAAAATTGTCGCCATCAGTCAGAATTGAAGGCTGCTTCTTCTTCCTCTGCAGATATTCAATATAAGACTCCCCCCCCCCAAGTAAAGATTTAGTGATACAGGAAACATTGAATAGAATTTCCACTTATCCTGACATTATGATGACAATTCTCCTTGCATGATGGGCACCAGTGCGGGGAAAAACGAAAGTAGCATGACCCCGACACATTTTTAAAAAACTTGTAGTTGAAATCTGTTACCTCCATGGCTCCAATTTCTTTCTGTCCAACACCAGAGAATTAAGCAAGTGAAACTTTTATTGGCACAGAGATAAAAGAGGGTCAGGATTCAATGTCTAAAAGTTCTGCATAAAGACACAGAAGTAGGACCTATCTGTAGGAGGACTAGCAGCATTTATAGACTTAAATACAATAGTGAAAAGTCAATCTTAGATTTCCCTTAAGGAGTCTGCTTTTATTTGAAGCCAGCAGGGGGAAATGAAACTGAGTTTTTAGGACCTCTGTAGAGTTAAAGGTTAACCTTGCAGAACTTGGCAGTTATTGTGTGTATTTAATTTCACTGTGAGGCATCGGATCTTTCCTTGGTTAGCCGAGGGAATTTTGAACTGCTGCAGTGAGTGGTAATGTTTTTCTGATTTCTGAGTTTATCAGAATTTTAGTTCTGACTGAGAGTTTTTAGTCTTACTATGAGTCAAGTGTGATGAGGTTGGGGGTTCTGAATTTAGCCAGATATACAAAGTGGGAAGGTTTGAGTTGATTATTTTTATTTATGCTGTGTATTAAAATTGCATCACATACCTCTGGAGATCCTGCTAAATTCACCATAAGTTAAAAATGTCCTTTTATTCCAGTGGTACCAGTGATAATTACTTGTAAAGATAAGGATGTAAGTGGCAGCTTTTTGGAGGCAGGGGCAATTTTAATTGGGAGAACTGTGTATGTACAGTATGAGTTGGAAAGAGGCCATAAAGACCTTTTCGTAGCTTTGCTCTGAAAGTAAATACAACAGAGATGGATTCACAGATCTCCATCATTCTGATCCATTTTGTCCTTGTTTAAAGCAATCTTCTGAATGAGCCATTTGCATCCTTATCTTTCCCATTTGGTGATTGCAGTAAGAACTTCGAAGAATTTCTTTTCACTGAAAGAAAAAGTTATCTTTTATCTTAGCTTGTCTCCTATAGCTAGTTAACACTCTTGAAATCCCAGAGTATTGTGCTGCATAAATTGGGATGATGCAGAAGGAAATCTTTCATGTTAACAAAATATGTAGCATCTTCTCTGAATAGAACATAGATGGAACGCTTCTTTGACAGTGGAGAAACTCAGAGCTCCTGGGAAAGGGGAGATATATTTTAGGCTGATTTAACTTTGAAGTGCATCCACAGGAAAGGCAATATTTTTTGTAGATGATTGAAAGTACAGAAGAAAGAACTGATAGACTCCTTGCGCTTCTGGTGCCTGGCGTGCTTTTAGATAGATGCACTACAAGATGGATAAGAATAAAGGATTTTTTAAAAATCAAATTGATTTTGATTTAAATCATCAAAAAACTCAAACTAGTTAAATTTAAATTGTGATTTCAAATTTAAATTTTAAATCAAATCCACCTTGATAGTAGCAGCCTTGTCTGGAGTTGTACTGCAAGCCATATGAGAGAAATCCTTTCTTAGAAAAGGTGGCTTGCATCTTTCTGGAGACGAAGGGCTGCCATTACCTCTCCTCCTGCGTTGTTAGCCTACACAGAAGACCTGGGTTGGGGTGGCGTTAGTCTTTGTACTGGGTAGAGTATAAAAGAAAGTTAACATGTGCACCAATGTAGGACAAAGCATGAAGGGTTAATTTGGCTGAAAAATAAGGGACCTGGGTTGGGGTGGCGTTAGTCTTTGTATTGGGTAGCGTATAAAAGAAAGTTAACTTTAATTTAGTGTCTTGCTGATTCCAGCCTTTTTCGGTTCCTGTTGCAAAATGGCTGCCTCACATTTCACATAGAACTTTAGGGGGAGGTCAGAATTGCAGGTCCCATAGAGAGGGGATGCCCTGCTTGAGATATTGCCCAAAATATGGCACAAATTGAGGGATAAGAGCCCCTGCACACCATGGGTTCTCCGTGTGCACCAATGTAGGACAAAGCACGAAGGGTTAATTTGGCTGAAAAATAAGGAAAATTATCCTCCCAGCCAAGAATGGGGTTGTAAACAAGTCCTTAGCTTTGATACACAATAGCTGGGACAGATTGTCACTGACTGCTCCCACAGCACCCAGAGTTCAGCACAACAATTAGTGATGCTCATTGGTATGATCTCAACCAGGTGTTTCGGAGCTGCTGTTCAGAACAAGTGTGTTGCATATACTGAAGGCAAGCATACGCAACATATTATTACCTGATGTACTTTTCCAACCTAGTGGATCCACTCCTTCATTTCCGGTTTGGATATCTATATAGTTTATATCGGAATGAATATTTCTGAATTTCTTGGATATAGTAGTAGATCAGTCCAATATATAGTATCCCATAGAGGGATACTTCCTTCTTTATTGGAATGTCTCTTCTTTCTTTATTGGAATGTCTGCCCAAAAGTGCTGTTTACACATGATTGAATTTCTTGGATATAGTAGTAGATCAGTACAATATATAGTATCCCATAGAGGCAGCAGTCTCTTCTTTCTTTATTGGAATGTCTGCCCAAAAGTGCTGTTTACACATGATGTTCTCACGGTGAATATGTGACCTAGGCCTGTGGTTAGATCTCTCATGTTGGCTTTAAGTATTGAAGCCGAAGGAAATGTTTTTATCTGCTGTAGTCTCTGAAAGGGGAGCTTTGAGTATCTTCCATATGACAAACATCCGCATGTGCATTTAGAACTTGCACATCGCTTCGGGAGCTTTGAGTATCTTCCATATGACAAACATCCGCATGTGCATTTAGAACTTGCACATCACTTCGTAAGTACAGTGGTGCCCCGCATAACGACGATAATCCGTTCCAAAAAAATCGTCGCTATACGGATTTGTCGCTATGCGGGACAAAAAAGCCCATAGGAACGCATTGAAACCCTTTCAATGCGTTCCTATGGGCAAAAAACTCACCATTCTGCGGAAATTCTCCATGCGGCCGCCATTTTCGCTGCCCGGTAAGCGAGGAAAGGGCGCGAAAACACTGCAGGCGGCCATTTTGGAACCGCTGATCAGCTGTTTTTAAAACATCGTTATGCGATAATTGGTAAGCGAAACGCTTACTGATCATCGCAAAGCGATGTTTTGCCATTGAAAACATCGTTATGCGATTGCAAAAATCTCATCGCTATGTGGATTCAGCATTAAACGAACCGCTCGTTATGCAGGGCACTACTGTAAGATGCCCTATTCTCCTTTGGCTTCTTTCTGCAGATGTGTAGAGTGTGAATGTGTGAATTAATTTGTGCTTCCAGTTTTTAACATCTCGCGGCAGTGTCCAGCTATGTGGATTCAGCATTAAACGAACCGCTCGTTATGCAGGGCACTACTGTAAGATGCCCTATTCTCCTTTGGCTTCTTTCTGCAGATGTGTAGAGCGTGAATGTGTGAATTGATTTGTGCTTCCAGTTTTTAATATCTCGTGGCAGTGTCCAGTGCAGCTGTCTGGCTTTCTGTGATGAGCCACAGGGATGGTTGGGTCCCTGGACAGTTTGGTTGCAAGGGGTTTTGGCTGGTATGTCTGCAGCAGGCAGGAACACCTGAGTTCAGCCTTTCTACAGGCTACTGGGGTCTTGCTAATTAGTCCAGAGGGGAGGTGGGGAGCCTGTTAGCAGTAAGTGGAAACAGCTGGAGTAGCCAGCGAAAAAGACATGAGAGATCTGTGACAGAATAAAAATCTTATCATATTTTTCCGTGTATAAAATGACACTTTTCCCTAAAATAATTAGAGGAAAAATTGGGGGTCGTTTTATACACGGTAATAAGGAGGGGAGGAGGGAGCAAAGCGCTTCATTCCCTGCTTTCCCCCTGCACTTCTTGCAAAGAAAGTGGAGGGGAAAGTACTTTCTTCACAAGGAAATGGAGGGGGACAGCAATTCCTGCTTTCCCCCTCCACTTTCTTGCGAGGAAACTGCTTTCCCCCTCTACTTTTCTCTCAAGAAAGCTTTTCCCTTCTACTTTCTTTGCAAAAATGTGGAGAGGGGAAGTACTTTTCTTGCAAGAAAGTGAAGGAAAGTACTTTCTTCACAAGGAAATGGAGGGGGGCAGCAATTCCTGCTTTCCCCCTCCAGTTTCTTGCAAGGAAACTGCTTTCCCCCTCTACTTTCCTCTCAAGAAAGCTTTCCCCTTCTACTTTCTTTGCAAAAATGTGGAGAGGGGAAGCACTTTTCTTGCAAAAAAGTGGAGGAGGAAAGCAGGAATAAAAGCACTTTGATCCCTACCTTCCCCCTCCACTTTCTTGCAAAGAAATAAATTTTGGTTTTGAAAAGTAGGGGGGGCTATGCATGGAAAAATATGGTAATTCTCTAAAATAGCAGAAGGGATAGCAGTTCCCCTCTTCCCTAGATCTCCATGCATCTATATACAGTATGTACATTTCCTAGAAACAGCTGTTCCCAAAACTGAATCCCTAGGTGGTATCAGGACTACAGTTTCCATAATTTCATGACCAACACAGCCAGTTGTCAAGGATAATGGGAACTGGAGTCCCATAAGGTGGGCTAGGTTAGAACCTTTCTCAGTAACATACCAACATTCTTTGTTCAGGAGTTTTAGGGTTGTTTATTTGTCTTGTCTCTGCATAGGCAGACATTCGATCATGTGAACTAATCAACCCACAGTTTTGTCATCTCTTTGGGAACCCGTTCTTAGATTCCATTCTCTCTTGCTTTCTACCTCATCAAATTCTAACTACAGTAATTCTCACTTCATTTTCTTTTTGTCATCTTATAGGTGAGCCAGAAATATCAGTTACTTTCCCTGAGCACTTCATAAGATGAATGCAGTTGTTGGGAATAAGGTGAGTTTGGATTATCAGGGGCCTGTTTTAGTTAAAATAAATGTGAAGGTGCATGATCTTTTGAATATTGTCAAGGATCTTATTTTTCATTGTTCAAAACAGCTTCAGGAAGATGATAGGTCCAGATTCACAAGTGGCAGCGGTATAGAAAATCCCCTGTGTTCTGCAGACTCAAATAGCACAAAGGTTTCTCCAAACAGAGCCTTACTCAGATGTGGTTGTTGTGGGTTTTTTGGGCTCTTTGGCCATGTTCTGAAGGTTGTTCTTCCTAACGTTTCGCCAGTCTCTGTGGCTGGCATCTTCAGAGGACAGCAACCAGATGTATTTTATTACCATTCTTAAAATTTCCTGGTCACTGGCTATGCTGCCTATGCAGGCCAAAGCAACTGGAGAGGTTGTTGTTTAGTCGTTAAGTCGTGTCTGATTTTTCGTGACCCCATGGACCAGAGCACGCCAGGCCCTCCTATCTTCCACTGCCTCCCGGAGTTGGGTCGAATTAATGTTGGTAGCTTCAATGACACTGTTCAACCATCTCATCCTCTGTCATCCCCTTATCCTCTTACCCTCACACTTTCCCAACATCAGGGTCTTTTCCAGGGAGTCTTCTCTTCTCATGAGATGGCCAAAGTACTGGAGCCTCAGCTTCGGGATCTGTCCTTCCAGTGAGCACTCAGGGTTGATTTCCTTCAGAATTGATA